AGAAAGAAAGAAAGAAAGAAAGAAAGAAAGAAAGAAAGAAAGAAAGAAAGAAAGAAAGAAAGAAAGAAAGAAAGAAAGAAAGAAAGAAAGAAAGAAAGATAGATAGATAGATTCTGGTAAAACCAAGCTGCCATTTCAATTGCTCTAAGTAGCAAAATAACTTTAACCATCAGTCTGTGATATTTGTATACATCTATTATACAGATAAAAACTTACAACCCAGAACAGAGCAGTAGTGGTGCATACCTGTAATCCTAGAACTCCAGAGGCAGAGGCAGGCAGATCTGAGGCCAGCCTGGTCTACAAAGCAAGTTCTTGAACATCCAGGGCTACACAGAGAAACCCTGCCTCCAAAACAAAAACAAAAAATTAAAATGATAGCCCACAACAGCAACAAATTATCATCATTTAAGTAACTAATTTTTTTTTTTTGTTGTTGCTTGTTTTTTTTCGATACAGGGTTTCTCTGTGTAGTCTTAGCTGTCCTGGAACTTGCTCTGTTGACCAGGCTGTGCACAAACTCACGAGATCCACTTGCTTCTGCCTCCCAGAGTACTGGGATTATAAGCGTGCACCACCACACCCATCAAGTAACTAAATTCTTAAAATAACACACTAATAAAATTACTGCATATTGTAAGACAATCTAAAATGCCTATGTCCAAATGAGACAGCAGATTCTGAGAAGCAAAAGAAAGTCTGGTCTAAATTCCATCTTTTGGTTGAGTACAGCGTCCCAAGCCTGTAATGCCAGAACTCAGGAATAAGCACAGTAAAATCAGGAAGTCATCATCCAGTATATACCAAGCAGGTTTGAGACCATGTCTCAAAAATAGTTTTTGAAACTGTTAAAGGGTATAATAGTATGCCACATACACTCCTTTATTCCCAGCAGTCAGGAAGCAGAGGCAGAGAGATTTCTGTAAGTCTGAAGCCAGCCTAGTCTATATAGAGAAACCCTATCTTGAAGAAAAGTAAAAAGACCTAATGGTTACATATTTACTAGTTAGTGCTTATTCTCTCTTAACTTTCTGATCTCTCAAACTTGAACTACTTTTGTCTGGCATTTTTTATTATTCCTCATCTGATCTTTTAACAACATGTAGCCTATGTGATCTTATCCCATCTTTAATGGTGACTGTCCTATGATGGTTCTTGGATTTTGATGTCTCTAAATCTTCATTAACAACTTTCCACTGGATTTACTCTTGCTTTCTCCCGATCACTTCCAATTCAACACAGATAGGGAGAATTTAATTTTCCTGAAAACAGTGTCTTTCCTCTAGGTTTTCAGTTACACTACACCTGATCAAATTATTTCCAAGTTCCCATTAAAGTCAGGGGTGGTGGGCCACAACTGTAACCCTGGCCAGCATTTAGGAAGCTAAGGCAGGAGGAGGCCAAATCAAGTATGAAGCCAGTCAAAGCTCCACAGCAAGAGAAACCTTGCAGAAAATGCTTTAAAATCCTCTTTCAAATGCAGACCCCCTTGGTTCAGGCACCTGCTATCTCCCTCTTCAATTGCTTTTATTACTAAAATATTATGGACTACCACAATCCTTGTTTGTTTGGGTTTGTTTTGTTTTGTCTTCAGGATAGGGCTTCTCTGTACTATAGCCCTGGCTGTCCTGGAACTCAGAGATAGATTCTCTGCCTCCTAGTGATGGGATTAAAGGCATGTGCCAACATTGCTAGCCCAACCACAATTCTGATTCCTGGGTTTTCTCAATTTTCCCAAACCTATTTATACCAAAAACCTAACCACTCTGACCCTTCTAGTTTGCTCAGTCTACCTGGCCATCTTTCCATCAGGACTCAAGACAACTTCTCTATAACTCTCCTAATCAGCTCAGTGGTAAAGTCACAAGAACTCAGTTTGTCTCACTTACTAGTCCTGAAGCCCCAAACTAGGATTTTAAACTAGCTGCCTTTTAAGAAAACTAAAATAAAAGAGTAATTTATAAGTTCTATATTTTTCTTAGAAGATCACAATACTTAATGTTAAAACATTTTTTAGCCAAGTGTGGTGGCATATGCTTTAATCCTAGCTCTCGGAAGGCAGAGACAGGTGGATCTCACTGAGTTTGAAGCCAGCCTGGTCTACACAGTGAGTTCCAAGACAGCCAGGGCTATGTTAGAAAGACCCTGTCTCAAAAAAATAAACAAAAAAATGTATTTGTGGGTATGTGCACATGACCCCACAGGTACCCACAGAAGAGGCTATAAAAGGGTATCAGATAGCAAGATATGTTTATTGAGAATTCAACTTTGGTCCGCTGTAGGAGCAGCAAGTGCTCATAGCCACTGAGTCGTCTACCCAGCCATTTATGATCAAAATCCAATGTAAATGAGTCTTCTTCTAAACCAATTCATCAATAACTGAATCACACACCTATTATTTCCAGATTGCTATCTCAAGTTAGTAGTTTCTCAGTAGAGAACACAAACTGAATGACTGTTCCTGAAGTCTAAAAGTTTACAGAACTTTTCCAAATTTGGGGTCACTGATGTAAACGGGAAAGTAGAAATCCATTTAGAAGAGGTGTACTGTAATTTTCCAAACAGATTCACTTCAGAATACAGATTTGGCCTCTAATTAGGCAAATCTGCTATGGACACTCATATCTGATCGCCCTCTCAGCCCATTACTATTTCCTTACTTGCTTTCAATTTTCGAAACCAGCCCCAAAACAAGACTTCCCTGAAAATCTATGACAAAAACTAATACTTCTGGTAAATTGTGGTTCCTTAGCATCATCATCTTTCTCTATAATACAGAACAGACAACCCTTTCTTTCCCCATGCCAAACTCAACACAATTACCATCCTATCTATAGATCCTTCGAGACCAATAACCTCCTATGTTAGCCTTGGAAAACTATTTGGACAGGAAAAGCATGTCCACCACAAGCAAGGATCAAAGCCAGCAAATCTAGCAATTATATTTTTCAAAAATTGTTTTTCCTATTATCCCAAATTTTGAAAACCTTGAGATTCTTCATTACAAGAATCGTGAAAAACATTACTTTTCTTGTCTTTAAAGTTATGATGGAAAATACAATTTAATTAAGAGGTTTCTACACTTAGAACTGTCTTAAGACAGATATGAAAGAATTAACTACAGTATGTTTTTTCTCTAAATGCGACAATCAAATCAGGCATATTTTTATTTCACCTTCATCGGCCTACTGTATGTGATGTTAAGCCAAGCATATAATCAGAACTAAAGGGACCCACATCTGACTCAAAGCTTCAAACAATTTAAGTAATGGTATTAGGAGAAAAAAATGTTCGCCCACATTACAGTGAAATCTCATAATGGTGAATATCTGCACTGAAATGTATTCACCTAGGATGTTTTGAAAATAAACGCAAACCAAATAAAACAGATTTCTAACACCCACCAAGAAGTACTTCTTGCTCTTTGGGGTATATTCTGGATCCCATTCCTCTTCCTTCGGTCTCTTTTGAAAAGTAGTATTTGAGTTGTTTGGACCAGTATTTGTCCCAGCAAAAACTCCTCTGGCTCTTCCTCTGCCTCTAATTCGAAACTGATTAACATTAACAAAGCTGTTTAGTAATGCAATCAAAGGTATTTAGTTACATGCAAACTCTAGATTTTACTGCAGTAACAAAAGCAAAATGTATGTGTGCATGTGTGTCTGTCCGCCTGTCTGTCTTCACAGCCACTGAGGATGAAAAGGGTAGCCATTTTATATCATACCATAGGCCTACTGGAAGTTGAATAGATTAAGAAAAATAATATATTGAAGTATAAGATGTACTTTCATGACCTGGAACTAGTATTTTTAAACTATGATATAGTTAGGTCCCCCCTTTTCACTAGCTAAAAGTTATCTAGTTCCTTTGAATTATATCACCAGAACCCCAGTTGTTTAACCACATCTGTTACCCTATAAGAAATGTCTTCCTTTCCCTCAATGACCTAGTGACTGTCACAATATCCAACTAGATAAAGCTAAAGATAAAAGTATGGATGAGAGAAAATACACGACCTTTAAGCCTGTAAGTTACAGTAACTTTGTAAAACATGGAGATAATGCATGCTATGTAGAATTAGGAAAAGTGTAACTGGTACACAAATAAGCAAGGACCTGAATAGGCAAAAATGAAAACTAATAATACAGAGATGAGTAAATTTTAATGTTCTTAAAATAGGTTTTTTCAAACTGGTGATTTAATAAGTGAACTTTTTAAACTGTTACTGATCTGGAAAAAAAAAGTATCTTTATATAGATGCTTCAAGATCTCAAAATGGCATTTCAGAATGAAGATAGTATTTCAAATACCATTTCATTTCTCAAGACTGATTCTGATTCTGACTTTGGATAAGAGGGCTAATAATCTACAGGATATATTTGATTTCCCTTGTCACAGTTCTCCAAGGAAAAGCCTCCTGAATGAGCAAAGACAACTATGACTTACAAAGGTTCCTCGAGGTCTGCTAACTCCTGCAAATCCCGAGTAGTCTTTCATCTCATGGTGAGTTTTAAACTCTTCTTCTCTTTCTTTCTTACTCTCTTTTTCTTCTCGAG